TGGGATCGAGCCCCGCATCGGGCTCCCTGCTCGGTGGGAAGCCTGCTTCTCCCTCTCCCACTCCCCCTGCTTGTGTTCCCTCTCTCGCTGTGTCTTTCTCTGTCAAATAAATAAAATCTTTTAAAAATAATAAAAAAAATAAAGTGGTTTTCAGAAATAATACTGATTTGAATTATTTAGTGTACTCCTATAAGAAGTGTCAGTGCTAGCATTTGAATTTTAAAAGGGTTTTATTTCTGTTACCACGCTGGAGAAATGATTAAGTGCTTTATCAGTAGTGGTTTGACTGTTAAGTCAGTAATGAGAATTTGTTCATGTTTTGTTGTCCATTTACTTAACATAGGCTTTTAAAGGATCTCTTGAGGAAGTTAATGATTTTATTTATCTTTGAAAAAGTTTTATTGAAAACTGGAAAATGACATTACTTTCATTTATTTTTAGGTTGGGCTCATGTGGTTTGTGCCCTGTATATTCCAGAGGTACAATTTGCCAATGTTTCTACAATGGAACCAATTGTTTTACAATCTGTTCCACATGATCGTTACAATAAGGTACAGTGGATATTATCTTATTGATGTTTGAATATAATTTTTTTGTTCTAAAGCTGGGAAGTGTAAAGGATTTTTTTTGTATTTTGTTTTATTATAGGCCTTCATTAAAAATTTTAAATCATACACCTCCATCAGATTCCAGAGAGATTTGAAAAAAGTATAATTACTAAATGGTAAACTACAATTATTAAAATATGTTATAAAGTCATGGGAGTAGAAAACAAACAAAACTATATTACCTTTTATGCTAACCTAGATCTTTAGTACTTTAACATTTAAATGACATTTAAGTCCTCAGATTTGTCCTTTAAGAATTATTGGCTTTTTATGTTCTTTCAAACATAAAGGTTCTGTTAAAGTTGACTTAATCATTATTTGGTATAACATTTATTATGATATCAAACATCCTTTCTTAAAAATAATCCTGTTACAGAGTATTACTTTCTCCTTTTCCTTTCCCAAATTATTTTCTACCCCCAAGATAGGATTTTTGTTGTTGGCTTTTTCTTAAAAACTTAATGTTTTCTTTGCTTTTTTTCACCCTGTATCTTTTTATTGATTAGTACATAGATATTATTGCTTCGTTCTCTTTTGCATGTTAGATGACTTTTCTTTTATCCAATGTGTCTTTAAATACAGTGTTACCATTTAATTGAAGGTACCTGTTGATTTATTTCATCTGAGGGGAAAAGGTATCACCAGTTCTCAGGTTTCAAATATTTTTGTGTTAAATATTTTATAATGTAGATTATTAATATTTACTTTTGAAATTTAAAAATATAGGAAACACATAGAAAAATGCAAGACAGAAATCATCCTAAGTCTTCTCTTTCTGAGCCTCTTAGATTTTTTGTGTGTGCATTTTTATATATATTTGTAAAAAAAGGATTATATTGCTTATACTATTGTCTGTTTTTGAAACTTAACAACCCTGAACATCTTTTTGTATCCGTTATATTTTTGCCATTATTTTTAGTGGATACTTAGCATGTAATACAGAGTGTTACTAGTTTTGATAAACTAATTTAATTAAGGAATCCCTTACTTTGAAGGGCCTCGTTTGGCTTTGGTTTATATATACCAACAGAATTTCTGTGTAAAAGGCTGTGAATGTTTTGGAAGCTTCAGTAAATATATTGTATGAAATTGTCCACTGGAATACAGTTTCTTTTTTTTTTTAGATTTTATTTATTTATTTGGCAGAGAGAGAGAGATGGCGAGAGAGGGAACACAAGCAGGGGGAGTGGGAGAGGGAGAAGCAGGCTCCCCGCAGAGCAGGGAGTTCGATGTGGGGCTCAATCCCAGGACCCTGGGATCATGACCTGAGCCGAGGGCAGTCACATACCGACTGAGCCACCCAGGCGCCCCTGGAATACAGTTTCTAATTGCTCATAACCTTATATCCTGTTAAGTGTACTGTGTATTACCATTAAAACAATCTTCATTGTTCTTTATTTATTTAATTAAAGAAGAATTTTATTTATTTGAGAGAGAGAGCGAGCATTAGAGATTTTTTCTTGTCTTGTATACTTGCTGTGTATGCTTTGGCCATAATTTAACATTTGCTTTTTAACTTTCATTATGTCTTCATGGTTTTTATTGTTGTTGGTATTTTAGCAGGTTATTTTTTTCTAGTTGAGAAGTTTAACATTTTTATATAATTTACACAGCTGTTTTCTATTGTTTCTGCTTTTGATGCCACACAAAGAAAATTTTTCTCTACGCTAATACATAAATTTTTTTTAGTACTTTTAGTTCATGTTTTTAAGTCCCTTTATTGTTCATCAAGTTCATATTTTTTTTTTTAAGATTTTATTTATTTATTTGAGAGAGAGACTGAGATAGATAGAGCATGAGAGGGGGGAGGGTCAGAGGGAGAAGCAGACTCCCTGCTGAGCAGGGAGCCCGATGTGGGACTCGATCCCGGGACTCCAGGATCATGACCTGAGCCAAAGGCAGTCGCTTAACCAACTGAGCCACCCAGGCGCCCATCAAGTTCATATTTTTAAGACCTTGTTTTTCCTTTCAATTTTGAAGTAATTTCAAATTTCCATAAAGGTTGCATTAATGGTACAAGGAGCTCTTCCTCTTATAAACCATTTCAGAGTTATTTATCAGTATATATTGACATCCCAGAATGCTTTATTTATTTATTTAAAAAATTGTATTTATTTATTTGAGAGAGCGCGAACATGAGCCGGGAGGGGGGGGGGCAAAGGGAGAGGAAGAAATAAACTCTCCACTGAGCAGGGAGCCCGACGTGGGGCTTGATCCCAGGACCCTGAGATCATGACCTGAGCAGAAGGCAGACGCTTAACCATCTGAGCCCCTCCAGGTGCCCCCTGGAATGCTTGAGTATGCATTTCCTATAAGAAAAGACTTCCTTGGGGTGCCTGGGTGGCTCAGTTGTTAAGTGACTGCCTTCGGCTTAGGTCATGATCCCAGGGTCCTGGGATCGAGCCCTGCATTGGGCTCCCTGCTCGGTGGGAGGTTTGCTTCTCCCTCTCCCACTCCCCCTGCTTGTGTTCCTGCTCTCACTCTCTCTCTGTCAAATAAGTAAAATCTTAAAAAAAAAAAAAAAAAAAAAAAGACTTTCTCCTTCATCACCAGAGACAGCCATCGAAAAGAGGAGATTAACTTTTATCCATTATTACTATCTAATCCACAGACCTCATCATTTCCCTAATTTTCATTCCTGTTCCCCCCCCCCATTTTCCCAGTAATGCCTTTTATAGCAAAAAAGATCACAGATTGTACTTTGTCTTGTAAGTCTCCTTTAATCTCAAATGGTAACTCAGTCTTTCCTTAACTTTCATAACTTTGATGCTTCTGAAGATTACAGGCCAGTTATTTTGTAGGATGGTCTGCTGTTTGAATTTTTCTGATGTTTCCTCACGATTAAATTAAATCTTGTATTTTGGCAGGAATATCACAGAAATGGTACTTTGTTCTCATTGCATCCTATCAGGTGGTACATGATTTCAGTTTTTCCCATTACTTGGCGATTTACCTTGATCATTTGGTTAAGGTGGTGTCTGTAAGGTTTCTTCACTGGGAAGTTAATCTTTTTTCCCTTTATAATAAAGCATTTTGTGAGGAAGTAGTTTGTATGTAAATATCTTGTTCCTTGTGCCTTTTACCCATTAATTTTAGTATCCATTGTTGTTTCTTGGCTTAGTTTATTACTGTGATTGATAGCAAGTGGTGGTTTTCTGTTCCCATCACTTGTTTCACATTCATAGGATGGCATTCCACTTGAAGGAATAACTCTCTGTGTCCCATTTATATTCGTATAGACTAATATGGACTTATGTGTTACTATTTTATTTTGATGGGTCATTCCCCCATTACTGTCATTTATTTTGATGATCATTTTCTCTCAGGTTTGGCCAGGGGGACCCCTTCAAGCTGGCTTCTGTGTGTTTTGATATGTTGTGAGCTCTTTACTTCTGACACAACAGTATGTTCTCAGGCTCATCTTGGATCATTCCTGACCTAGCCCTGGAATAATCACCCATTTCCCCGAGGAATCTTGATTCCTTTTAGAAGCCAAAGTGGGACTAAGTGTGATTATTATTATTATTTTTAAAGATTCTATTTATTTATTTGAGAGAGAGAGCACAAGCAGAGGGAGTGGCAGGCAGAGGGAGAAGCAGGCTCCTTGCTGAGCAGGGAGCCCAATGTGGGACTCGATCCCAGGACCCTGGGATCATGACCTGAGCTGAAGGCAGACCTTCAGTCGTTAAACTGAGCCACCCAGGTGCCCCGCTGTGATTATTGTTATTGGGATATTGCTACTCCCAGGCCCTCTCAGTGGGAATAGCTAGGAAATACATGTGTGTATATATAGATACAGAGTTATATACACATTCACATCAATATTTTTTCAGTGCTTATCTCTATATTTTGAAGTCTGTGAGGTCAGAATCATATACTGATTCAGTATATGAGTATATATTATACATATACACATACCTATATGTATCTATATGTATTTTTATATATACCCTGCATTGGCTGCCCTTTTCATCATTTTTGGGATTTGATACTCAGCTGTAGCCACCACTCCTTCCCTCTTCTCTGAAATGGTTGGTCTCCTCATCTTGCTTACGCTTTGGCACTATCTCCACCCCGACCCTCAGCACCCTCGTGGAAGCCCACTCTGTGGGGGCTTTGACACCTGTGTTAGACTTCCCCACTTCCCCAGCATGGATGCTGCCGTGCTTGGACCCATGTTATGGCTTTAAGATTAATGTACTCAAGGAGTAAGGGAAGGGAAGAAGGAAGAATGGATTATTTAGATATAAATCTTTTATCCATTTAGAGTTCATTTTATTCTACGGTGAGGTATGTGTCTAACTTTTCCTCTCCCACATAGTCAGCTTTTTCAACACTGTTGACTAATCTGTGTTTTACACAGTAATTTGAAGAGTACGTGACTCGATCTCAGGGTTGTGAGTTCAAGCCCCATGTTGCGCAGAGATTACTTTTAAAAAAAAA